TAATGCTGCACGAACACAGTGGCAAGCCTTACCAGTGATAAAATCAAAGTAATATAGACTGGCCGGGAAACTCTACTAATTTAAATCCAATTGATAATCTGTGATCAATCTGCAAGGAACGACTTCATAGAATGGACATACAAAGTACTAACTGGTGCACTGGGTCATGTTTCATTGGAAAAATACGAACAAAAGTAAATAATAACAGAAGTATTCGTTTTGTTTCAATTAATTTGCACAAGGGTGTAGATGATCATGGCCCTCCCCGTCTTCCTGTATAACTAATTTGAACAAGGGTGTAACTGGATGAAAGAGTAAATTCTAAACTCAATTCAGGTACCTTTGTTTTATAACTTTGATTTTACAGTTGCTGGTTGATTCCAGTGGGGTATTACGTTTTAGGCACGGTGGAGTAATGGATAGCGGCTCGAAATGAGCAATCGGAGAGCCGGGTTCGAAATCCAGTCGAATCCATTACATTCACTTATGTGCTAATACCCTTGGGAAAGGTATGAATCCTCTTCTTCTTATTCCAGCTATGGGTAAACAGATAGTCTAACGCAGAAAGTAATGGCAACCTACTGCCGGAAAAAATTTGCCTCGTCAGTCATGTATCGAAAGATACATGATCGCCTAAGCGTGTATAACGCATGTCACATAACTGATTACGTTTAAATTAAAACACACACGCAAACGGACACACAGACTTATTTAAAATCTCCTATATTTATGAGGGAGACAGCGTTTGTAGATATAATCATAAAGGTTCGGTACAGGTTCGATTCCTGTCCCCCGACAGGAATCGAACTTGCATCCTTCACGGAATACGTTTCGAGCAGATATGAACGTTCGAGAGAAATCATGGGAAGTTTGTAATTCAAAAACAGTAATTTAACCTTTCCTCTGTAGCTAAATAGTATAGCACCACAGGCTATATGGCGGTTCCATGTAGAATACAGGTTCGATTCCTGTCGGAGGACACATATTTTCTTTGAGATTTCTCGCCCATTCAGGCCGGTAAACTTTGTTAATATTGTTTATTATAAACAGAGCATTTACTTAAATATTTGTAGCTATAAAAATAACGTGTAAACAAAAAATATATTCAAATAATTGTCTTATTTATATATGAGGGTGCACGTGTATATATTAACAATAACAAAAAGTCTATGTGCAAATTCCTGGAGTTTAACGCGTTTCCGGCAAGCAGAATTTTGTAAATAAAGTGCTCAACATTAAAAAAAAAATAGACCTGCAAGAGTTAATAGATAAAAGTTTAAGCGCGAAACGGTGTATCTATGACACTTCAAGACAGAAGATAAGTTATTTGAACTTTTATCTATATCTTATTGGCAATAAAGAGATACATGAGTAAGTTATAAGTATGTCTTGTGTTAGTATTTCAAGTAGAGTAGAAGATACCAATTTTAGAGGAAGCGTTTCTAACGCACGCCTTTGCTGAGATTCAAACTGACCACTGGCGCCAGTCGTCAAATAATAAAGATATGGAATTTAATAATACTAGTTTAGTTTGACGTAGAGCTGAACTGAAGAATGGGAAGATTGTAATCCAGCTGCTCTTAAATGAAGGAGGCCTAACTGCTGTATTTGGAAATTCTTGAGGAATACAAATCTATTATTGGCCAGGATAAAAAAAATGTTACGGAAATTTTCTGCAAGAAGAAAATTCATTTTGCGTCTGTTTTTGCTTTAAAGTTTATATTTTGCCAGAAACTCCTTATCTTTTCTTCATGAAAAAAAGAAGAAAAAAAAAAAGAAAGAAAGAAACTAACAACAAAAGAAAACAAGCCTCGTTCTGATATTAGTTTGTCTGGAGACGCTGACTTCCCCGATTTTACCCCGTGAGTAATTTGTCCGTTTCCGTGAACAAAAACTTCTCACGTGATTTAAAAAAAAAAAATGTTTAAAACAAAATGCAAACAAAATCTAAAATCTTTTAGTTTTTCATGCGTTTTTGTCATTTGTCTATCATTCATATATTTTTACTTCTTTTAAGAACTATCATTTGCATGATCCGTTTGAGGGTCGAGATAGTTGTGTCAGTGGCCAGTGTCTGAGTGTGAGGTCATGAATTTGAATGCACAATGGCATTCCTCTACAAGGAAGACTGTTTCAATCTAATTAATCTATTTCTTCCCATCTGGTCTGGTGCCGAAATCTATCAATATCAATATGGAGGCATCGAGCTGGAGTATTTATCAGCAAAATGGTTCTCACTGAACCTTACTGGTGTATAGATTTTGAACTTCACTGGTCGTCTTACACGAACACATCAACATGTTAAACTAATATCGATTAATCAAGTGCATGAGTTGGAAAACAAAATTACATAAAAGTTCTGTCTAAAAAAATGTAACCATTTAATTTTGAAGAGAAACTAACCTATTTAAGACAATTGTGCCTAAGTTTACTATAAATTATTCCTAAAAGATGGGACCAAAAAGATATAACATCTCTTCTTCTGTTCAAAATAGTTTGCCTTTAAATATTCTCCTTAATATCGTCCATACTCTGGAACTTGCCATTCAAAAGAGATTTTAACTTTGGGAATCATCAGAAGTTAATGTCAGTCAAAAACAAGCCTCTTTAAAAAAAAAAAACCTGATCGAAAGTTAATTCCATACATACGTCTTATGAGCATTACATAGATACATATGAACAAAATTATAGATTTGAATAGAAATATGTCATATCAATCTATATATATATATATATATATATATATATATATATATATATATATATATAATGTTTCATCGAATATTGAATGCGACAGACAAGAACAATGAGTTTTTTTATTAAGTTTTTCTAATGTGCACAGCGCACATTAAAATTTAAATGTGTAAATTTTATCGGCTAGGGAAAGCCGAGTTCGAACCCCAGTCGAATTCATTAGATTCACTTACGCAAAATTAACCTTGGGAAAGGTATAAATTGAACTCCTCTCCCCCAGCTATGGGTTAATGGCAACCAGTCTAGCGCAGAAAGAAATGGCGTCTATCACGTATGGCACTGAACAGACTGACTTATGTTCTTACAGATTTATTTTTGAAAGGACTACAGGAATGAAAAAAATATCCAGAATCATTATTTTTCGTAGCGCTCTCTATCAATTCAGCAGCCATTTTCTATGTTGTTAATGTTTTGCCATAACAACGTTCGGAAGCTGCAAATGGTTTTCTTAACACGAACTCAAAAGCCATCGTAAGCGAAGGTTTGAGCGTATTAATATTGTTCAAACTGCTCTCTTCCAGAAACTGTAACTAAGATCCGTTCGGCGTTGTTGCAGTATAAACTACAGGTGGGCTTTTTTGAGTGTTGAAGAAACACAAATGTTCCTGAGTAGGCTTCTGCGGCAGGGATTGCCTTGCTGCTCTAACATCTACAACAGGGTTTGACCACATGTTCATTTATTTTCTGTAGATTAGTTAACGCCTATCAAGAGGGGGAGGAGGATAGAAGAAAAAGATGTGATCGAAAGATATAAAGAGGTATTTATTAAGATTAATTTAGTATGACACAAGACCACAATTCTGGATTACTCAATGAGATAAGATTCACTAAGCGTCGAAGGGTGTGCGAGAGGCGATTGTTAACTACTGCTTTACGTGGACACATGCAAAACTGAATTTGTTGCCTGAAAATCTTATGAACCCTTTGTGTTGGTCTGGTCTGGTCTCGTCTGGTCTCGTTTTTGCACGTTGAAATTGACTCTTCTACTGAGAAAAAAAAACTTTTATATAGTTCTCCCAGTCTCAGACCCACGCTGACTATTGGCTAATACCTGCCTAGTATCGTTCACTTGCAAATAGTCAGCGCCACCTTCTCTAAGTAAAAGGTCTTCTCTCAACAGCCCATTGAGGGCGTGGGGACTCAACTCCTGGTGCTTACAGCACCACATACTACCAACTCAGAGTCTTTTATCGGGCTGACCCGATTCTCTGTTACACCCTTTTTGTCGCATTTCGAATCCTATTCCATTTCTGCACCAGCCCCTGGTGTTTGAGAACCGATAGCTTTGATTTAGAATCTGCTGGCGTAATGGGATGGCCAAGGGACACATTCCAAAAGCTGGGCAGAATACTGCGAGACAGGAGGATTTCTCTGGTAACAAAGAAAAGAATACTGAGCTGTTACGTGACATCTGTCCTTCTTTACGGCAGTGAATGTTGGACGATTTCCCCAAAGATGAAGACAAGATTCGAAGCGTCAGACATATGGTTCTACAGAAGGATGCTAAGGATATCATGGACCGAGCGTGTAAGTAACGATGAGGTTTTGGGGAGGATGCAAACAAAGAGGAAACTTATACTTAACTTCAGGAAGAGGCAGCTGAAGTTTCTGGGACACATAATAAGAAAGGAGGGCTTGGAGAATCTGATACTCACGGGACGAATAGAGGGAAAGAGAGACAATGGAAAAAAACACGTGACATACCTGGCGGACTTAAGCAAATGGATAACAACGTGGTCTGGGGGAGGAAGCAGAGGGAAGGAACTTGTTGAGAGCTGCAAGGAATAGAAGGAGGTGGAGAGCCATGATCACCTACGTCTTGAAAGGACATGGCACATAAAAGTTTTGCATGGGACATAGGCAAAGAAAGATTGGTACAGTCTTTCTGGAATCCATTTCTTCCATTAATAAGATTCTGTCAGAAGAAGAAGCTAAGCTATTACCTATCCATGCATAGCTGCAGAAAGAATAAGAGAGGAAGAGAGGGGTGGAGACAGTGAAGTGGAGAGAGAAAGAGAGGAGTGGAAGAGTGAGAGGCAAAGAAAAAATGGGAAAGGTCTGCGCTTCTAAAGACAGGGAGTTCATTAGAAGATAATGCTGAAGTTAGAATTAAAGATGTCGGTCTTCAGACGCGTCGGTTGTAACAAAAAAAAATCACACGAGAAAGAATAAAATCAAAATAATTCTAACATCAGGGATCACCATCGTCAACTGCGGCAACAACAACACAACAATACTATTTTTAGTGCCTTTCTTTTTATCCCTCTTTTTGCCATTCTTGTGACTTACTTGTCAGTTTATTCACCTTTCCTTCTTTTCTTTTCATCCTCCCTTCATATTTCATGATCGATTCTTTCTTGTTCTTCACTGTTCAGGAATCGAGTAGATTGGCGATAAAGATGGAAAACGGACGGCATCTTTTTTTTTTTTTTTTTTTTTTTTGCTGAAGCAGACGAGACAGAGAAATGGCCGATTCATTTGCTTGGAAGTTGATTTGTTCGCGGCAGCTTACAAGAAAAATGCTGCAAAACGGCAGAAATTAAAGGAAAAACAGAGACAGAAGAGAGAAGGAAGCGATGGACATGTAGAAGAATGACAACGGATTATTATGATCGTCATAGAGTTTGGGCAGCAGAAATGAATTAGAATATTATTATTCGCACAGTGTCATGATGATGATGATGATGATGATGATGATGATGATGATGATGGAAAAATATGACAAAGTGATAAATGAAATACTTCAAAAGATGAGACAGGTATAAGAATTGAAGTGCAGAATAATATCAGATGTGGGAACAAAAATGAATAAGAATTAGGATAAAACAGTGGGAATAGGAATAAGAATGAGGATAAAAAGAATTATAATAGGAATAAGAATGTGAATAAAACAGTGAGAATAGGAATAAGAATGAGAATAAAACAGTGAGAATAGGAATAAGAATGAGAATAAAAACAGTGAGAATAGGAATAAGAATGAGGATAAAAAGAATGAGAATAGGAATAAAAAGAATGAGAATAGGATAAAAATAATTAGAATATGAATAAAAATGAGGATAAAAAGAATTAGAATATGAATAAGGATGTGGATAACACAGTGAGAATATGAATAAGGATGTGGATAAAATGAGTGAGAATTTGAATAGGAATAAAAACTGAATGAGAATAAAATAACTGATTTTGTCCAACGACATTTACTGTGACTGTAAAATTTTAACAAAGATGAATCTAACAAAAATGAACTCACCGTGAAAAGTAAAAGAAAACTGACTAAACGTATGACGAAGACGGGAAGGGCGGGCAGAGCCGTAGTAGCCGCCGTGAAAATGATTGTCTTGTCAGAAGTGTCAGTTGAAGAGAGATAGAACCAAACACACGGTCAGAAAAGAAAGAAAGTAATGAGGTTCAATGATGGAATAGTAGATATGCTACCAATTCTAGTAGTACAAACAATGTTCTATGGCACAGTTGGCCGGCTTGTCTTTGTCGGAGAATAGTAGGAAACAAAAATCAAAATACGTAACACCATTTCTTAAGCCGGTTTAATAGTTATTCAATTCTACAAAAAAAAAAAAGAAAAAAAAAGGGGCACGGGGAAAATACTTGTGTTTTTAGGACAAAAAAAAAACACTGATTATTATTATTATTATCTTTCTTTTATTTTCTTTGATTTCGCATTTCCTTCCGGGTCACGCCCAGGGACCTAAGGTTAGAAATGGCATCATGACACTTTCCACTTACAAAAAAAACATTACATAGATAAAGCCCTTCGGAAAATGTGGGCTGTACTTGTCAGAACAATTTTTTGTATCTCTTTGAGGAATGGATTTCCAGGAATCCCTTCAATTAGTCTACTGCAATCTTTTCCAACCAATCCTAGGTCTCCAACTACAAAAGGGATTGTTGATGTTCCCATATGCCACATTTTTCAGATTTCTATTTCAAGGTCCTTGTATTTTGACAGCTTTTTGAAGATCTTCAAAGATACATTGCAGTCAGCAGAGACTGCCATGTCAATAAGGAGGCACCGTTTTTGTTTGTGGTCTTTAATAACAATATCTGGCCGGTTGGCCTTGATTGTTCTGTCAGTGTGTATTGTGTAGTCCCATAGAATTGTAACAGGTCCTATCTTCTATCTTATTATTATTATCATTATTATTATCATTATCATTATTATCATTATTATTATTATCATTATTATTATTATTATTATTATTATTATTATTATTATTATTATTATTATAGTCTCCCATAGATATTTCGGTACGATTAGATAAAATATTTATCTGTTAGTGGATATGAAAAACGAAATATCCCTAAAGAATAAGATAATTGGAACCCTGCAAAAAAGAAAATTCATAAAATCCCTGGCATTTTTTTAATAATTACACTTTGTAAAACTGCTCGTCTACTCAGAAGATTATTATCAATGTCAAGAAATTATAAACATTGTGCATGTTAAGTATCGCTTAACATCAGAATTTGTGCAAACAGAATGCATATATTTATTACCTTGCCTTACCGACAAGTCTCAGGTACTAATCAGGTATGATAATGTACTAGACAAGAGGAATAATAATAATAATATTGGTATAAATACCACCCAAACTCGGTAACGGTGATAGGACCTGTACAAATTTTATGAGACTACACAATACACACAGACAGAACAAACAAAGCTAATCGCCCAGACATTGTTATTAGAGACCACAAACAAAAAATTTGTCTCTTTATTGATACGGCACTCCCTGCAGACTGCAATGTGCCATTGAAGATCTTCAAAAAGCTGTCAAAATACAAGGACCTTGAAATCGAAATCTCAAAAATGTGGCACATGGGAACATCAACAATCCCTGTTGTAGTTGGAGCCCTTGGATTGGTTGGAAAAGATTCCAATAGACTCATTGAAGGGATTCCTGGAAATCCATGCGTTAAAGAAATACAAAAAAAAATTGTTCTCACGAGTAAAGCTAACACCTTACGAAGGGCTTTATTTATGTAAAATATGTTGGGTTTTTTTTAATTGCTCAGTGGAAAATGTCATAATGCCATTTCTGACCTTAGGACTCTGGGCGGAACCCGAAAAGAAATTAGCACACACCAGAAATCAAAGGAAGCAATAATAATAATAATAATAATAATAATAATAATAATAATAATAATAACAATTCAATGGATCCCTGGTAACCTATGCCTTAAAGAAATACAAAAAAATGTACTCACAAATACAGCTCAGACATTACGAAGAGCTTTATCTATGTGAAATGGGTGTGATCGGTGGGGGGGTTGTTTTTTTTATAAAGATGATCAATGGAAAATATCATGAAGCCATTTATAACTTTCAGTCTCTGGTTTGGACACGGAAGGAAATGTGTATGCAACAAAAATCAAAGGAAATAATAATAATAATAATAATAATAATAATAATAATAATAATAATGATGGGACTCATGAATATCTTGACTGTTGCACAAGTTTCATTTCGTTTCATTGTTTATTTTAGTGTCGGTTGCTGGGAGTAATGGCTCTAGTATCGATAAAAATCTATTCTACTGATTGTGATCAAAAGCATATCGATGGATTATGGGGAGTTGTAACCGTGATACGTTTTACAATTGAACAAATTGGTTGAAAGAGTAAATAAATTTTGAGTGGTGTGACCAAGAAAGACGGCTTTCCTAGTTGTATTAAGAATATTAATCGTGCTAAAAGCAACAATCAGAGCAAATAATAATGATTCCAATAGACAGACCTTTCGTCTTTAAATGCCATGTCCTTTCAGGACGGAGCCGATCATGGGTAACCAAAAATACATTTTTATCCATGAACCGCCATGCGTTCTTGAGAACAAAGATCGTGAAATGCTTTCCTGATTGCCTTTTCCAAAGTTTGGCATTCAGAATTGTCCTTCTCTCAGACAGGTTGCCACCTAAAGTTAGAGAACCTAGTTTACCCTGCTATTTAATCCATAGCTGAGGGAGGGAAAAGCGATGGATTTATGGCTTTCTCCAAGAGTATTAGTGAGAAAGTGGACGAAAATGTCTAAGCCGAAATTTGAACTCGTCCTGCCGATTTTCACCTTCCATTCTGATAAACTTAACACCAGATCTTAGTCATCGTAAACAAAAGAAGAAGACAATTTCTTAAAGAATTCCAGAACAATATAAATCTAGAAGAGAAAGAATGGTTATTTATATACCAGGACTTTATCAAAAAGTTAGAATAGGGAAATGACCGTTGTACCCATAAATTTTGGAGTTGAAGAATTGGTGATTCGAGTTGGAAAAGAAAACTCTTCAGTCGGCGGCACTATTTAAATCGTTAAGAGACTTGCTGTCACCAATTCCCATTGATACAATAAAAAAAATAATAGTATTAGTAATATCAATTGTTTACGTATTGCTATAGTTGTTTACGGGTTGAGTTCAGTTACGCAGGAGTAAGTGGAAATAGATTAGTGATTTGTTAAGCGAGTGTAATGGGAATGTTACAAACCTCGAACTCAAATCATACAGTGAACACGTTTTCCACTCCGATGTCCCAAAAGTCAATTCGTCGTATCGTTTTTTTGTCGGCTGCAAAATCAAACAAAACCTTCGTTTCATTTCGGGTGGCTGACGGACAGCGCCGAATGCTCTCGGCTATTTCCGCCAATCGCGACCGTTGTTCCTTGCCATACTGAGTCAAGCTTGAGAATTGTTACGCTATGGTAGACACTTAAAGATGTTAAAAAGGCGACAGAAGAGTTTGCACAAAAATACAAGGGAAATTTTTTCAACGGTCTTTGTTGGTCTGAATAGGTTTCAAATGTCTTTGGAGACTAAGAAGAATCAGCTCAAGTAGTGAAGCGTTGGCTTAGCATGTGAAATGTAATGGAATCGATACTTGTGTGCCCCCGTCGGACATATTCGACTATTGGGCCGTTTGGTGGTACGGGCGAATAGCATTTCGAATGAGAATTTTCGAGAGAGTTTCATTTTTTTTTAAACAATTAGTGCAACACAATCTGATTATTTGGTAACCTACCGCACTAAATTAAGCCTAGTTATTATTGATATAACAATCGTAATGTTAGTCAAGACCATGACATGAACATATTTACGAAATTAGCTAAGCTTTGCTCAAGGTCAAGACTATATATAATGCTCGTTTAGAAACGATGAGTCTGTCGGAGTTACCTCCTTGTTAATTCCAAAATTCTTCACCAAGTGTCTCTCTCCCCATACTATAAATACTGGGCAACTTCTTGCCTTGACCTTTTTTTCCCTCAGGCCTCGTGCCGCATCCCACCTCGCGTGGAGTTGAGGTAATTCTTTCTCTTCTTTCTTTCACCGTTACTACATGAGCTCTCACAAAAGACAGCATTTCCCATTTCTGGGAAGACGCTATGAACATTACAAACATACACGTACGTACGAACATTCACCAAAATACAAACATTCACCAAATAACAAACACAAATGTTCACACAAAACTGTCTATGTCCATTGTAAAATTGTTTTTGTTTAATACATATTTTGTTTATATATATATATATATATATATATATATATATATATATATATATCGGTCTTGTTTTGTTTGTCTTCTTTATCT